TATTATTCATTCAACTCTTGCAATACGCATTTAATTGATAAAATAAATAGAACAAGTCTCTATTCTGGTAATGTTAACAAAAACCTATACAACATCGTTATCACTGTGCGATAACTGTTTTCAAACAGACGAAGTCGAAGGACATTCGACTTCCGTACTAAATTTAATACGAAAATTCTACGATTTCTCGTGGAACAATTATTCACGTGGATATTCCACAAATATCTAAATTGAAAATATTCTCATTTGACCAGTATTCAAGTCAACATATTTCTAATTAAATTTACTAGTTCCACTATAATTAATATCGTATTATCAACATTAACCAGAATAGAAAAAAACTACGCGGTGCAAGAAAACCTAGCCTCATCTAAGAAATAAATCACACAAAATGTTACTACTCACGAGAGTGAGTTATTACACTCACACCCGCGGTCACTGTGCTCGTCAAAAGATACTACGTAATTACAACTAGTCACCCGTGTCGATTCGGACCAATCGTCCTACGACATGATTGAGTGACCAGAGGAACTTCAACGCATGCGACTCACAGTTCGTTGAGTTAAAGCTGTCGTCTAGGCTGCCACAGCAAACTGCTACCCCCAGAGGAAGTCATCTATGTAGACCGCCACTGCGAGGAGGAAGTCATCTAGGACGCGACTGCACACCAGAAGTTGTCGTGGAAGTCATCAGGAAGGCACCATAGGGACCACAGTAGATGCAAGCTGCAACACTTTGTAAGAGAACGGAATATTATTATTTGTTCCTCGAACCATTTGATTATTTCAAAATTTTCAATATTATTTACTGCAGCGAATTTCGAAATTATCGTAATTTTGACTCTAATAGAGATTCACGTAGACATTTGAAGAATTGAAAAATTTAAGGCACTCTTTAAATGGAAAAGTATTTGAAACTGTTAAACTTTCAGTTCAACAGATACTTACTTTTCAGCTCTGAGAGCTCCGCCCAATGGTTTCTTCGGATGAAGCACTGACTCTAATACCGGTAACGAATTTCAGCAAGAATAAAAGAATAAAAAAATAAAAAGCTAGTAACGCGACCGTATAGATAAAGTCCGGCGAAAAAAAACACTGACTCTACTATTCGCGTGATTTATTTTCAAATTAGTTCATATTGTTTAATTAAAGAGCTGTGCTGCTCTGAGAAAAAAAGAAAACAATTTGTACGCAAAAACACTGACTCTACTAACCGCATTGCGCGCGGTCAAACTCTCTGGAAGAAAAGTTGTTTGTTAGTTTGGGGAGGGGGGGACGTTGTTGTCGTTGTCTTTTTTGCTGTCTCTTTTTTTCCCTACCGAGTGTTCGTCAAGAAAATACTGTATCTTTGGAGAAATGTAAACATCTAAATGATTGTTCATTTCACATTAACACAATTCTTATGAAAACGTCAACGTTAGTAATTATCAAGATCCAATTAACGTCGCAGTACCGAATAGTGCGACACGATGAAATGAATTTATGAAAAGTAAAAAAAATAAAAATGTTTGTTACTAGAGTTAGCAATTGTTGCTGTGTTAACAGAGTCGCGTCGCGTAATATGTCGCGATTTATAAATATTCGGAAATGTTTGCACCAAGTAAAATTCCATGGCTAAACCGAACCATAAGAGTATTACGATTCTACGTAAATGATTTTAGCGAATATTTAAACTTGCGACGAAAATTGTACGTATCGGTGATTGAACTCGATATAGGGATAGTAAACTAATATTTAAACTTGCGACGAAAATTGTACGTATCGGTGATTGAACTCGATATAGGGATAGTAAAAAGGCTGGAAGAATAATATTAACGATTCTACAAGATAGAAAGTATCGCGACCGAAATGCAGCAAAAGGTGCAAATTATTTCAATAAAATCCAACGACTTTATATAATTAAAAATTCCATATTACAAAGCAAAGTTTGAAACGATCAAGTCACGAATTCTTTTGTAAACTATACAGAAATAAATTACGCCCGAAAGAAAGAAGCTTAATCTGTTCTTCTTGCATCTTGGTATATTGCTCGATTAATTAAGTATGCGTAGTTATACCCCCCTTTAATTATGCAATAAACGTGTACCATGTATTACTATACGTTGTTATATACCCACATAAAGTCAGCAATAATAAAAAAAGAAACAAAATGTATACATACGATCGGCTTTATAATAATAAATTAAATATTACCCATTACGTATTCGTCAAACCCTTGCCGATCACTTAGTCTCTCCCTCTCTCTTCTCTCTTCATCAACCAGATATCTTAACAGAAGAGAAATATTAATTTATAACGTGTATATTGAAAAGAAACGAAATTGCGTCGTAATTAAACGATTACTTTAATTCGAACTCTATTGTGAAAGTTTACGATATGATTTAAGGTTAATTGAACGCGAAAGAAAACAAAATAAAATGGTTGCTCTTTACCGTTGTGATAATTAGGTGAAATATCAAAGGAAAGTGTATTAATTCGTTGAATTAAAGTAATAAGAGAGTGTAGTAATCGTAGGATAACTACCAGAAATATTAGAATACGCGAATGTGAATAACACGTTCTGCCAGCTCAGAACTCGGTAACTGAATGAATTCCTTCCGCGACCACATCAAGGAGCGATCGTATAACATCGAGTGGTGGGGCAGAGCACGCTTCGCATGTTATGTATTTCGAAGAATTCAATGTACATAATAATTCTGAGAAGTTAACAGCCGAGCGACACCGAGCTCGAGCACCACTTGAACGACGACCGAGACGTCTTGTATACATGTTTTTCTAAACACAAGTTTCGCGACGGCGTACATTCTTCACGTTAAAGTTAGACACGATACATCGACTGAAATATTCTTCGATTTTATAGAACAATTCACGTCCCTTTCGTTCAGCAGTGATACGATAGAAATAAGTTAAAAGATTGTGTGTGCACTTCTACAATTGCTGGAACTAATTACTCCTATCAATTTCCCGCCGTTTCTGTCGCTTTTGAATACCAAGTGTCATGGAGACTATGAAGTTACATTTAATTTTAATTCTAACCGCTACTAATCTTAATCTAAGCTGAATATTTAATAGCACGGATGTTAATTTCCAAGCGAAAATGTTATTACAAATCTCAGGAAATGCGTTAATATTCTTTAAGACTTAGAAAAGTGAAAAGTAAAATAAAAGACTTAGGAAATCCAAACATTTTTGAATGAAATGAAAAAGAAGGAAACCACCATAGATCGCTCATTTATCGTTCGTAAAAGAGCAAGTGCGAAAGCTTTATTCTATCGTGATTGGCTAACTATATCTCCCACTTTTAGACCTTAAGGTCTGTATAAAGCTACAGGTTTGCTTTACCAATCAATACGTTTCGCAACGACTACTTTTCGGTTGTAAGAAATTTCGCGGAATTTTATCAACATTATTGAACATAACCTAAAAAGTAGAAATGAGTCCATCAAATTTTCGCATTAAACTCAATTTGGATAAATTTTACGATGACGTACGCCGTTACTGTTGGGTTTTCATCGATGGTACAAAAATGTTAAAAATCAATCATGTGATGGAACATATCATGAAATTGTTTAAAATCAAACAACCGTTTCATTTGCTGTTAAACGAAACCGAATATTTACCACCTAACGAGGACATACGTATTCTGAAGGAAAATGAAACGATCTTGTAAGTGTTTATACAGTGAAACTGTGTAAAAAGGATAGTGTTATATTTGTCGAAGTATTGCAGGGTTTCTCCTGGATCTGGATTGGATATTGGGTTAGAATTATGTAGGACTATTCTAAAGCTACCGGAAGATGAAAGTTTCATACAGTCAAAGAGAAATACAAACACTGTTCAACATAAACAATTGCAAGCTAACCTATCTCCAATTTTATCAAACCCAGTTCCAGAAATAGTATTTAATAAGAATACAAACTTATTTGAAAATGGTTAGGTTCTAAACTAATCGATAAGTTTATTCTGTCAAGCAGTGTAGAAAAGATGTATTTTATGTAAAAGTATTTTTAATCTTTAGATATTCCAGACATTACCATGGTATCTAATGAAATAGAAAGTAGCGAGATAGCTATTAGAGATGAGGTAGCTATTAATACAATGGAAAATATGACATGTCCAAAAAGAATACGAGCACGACGTAAAAAGAAGGAAAAGAAAAATACTCAGCGACAGGAAATAGAAGAAGACAAATCGAGAAAACCCAGGATTGCAGATATACGTATCATTCCATCTGGCAAACATATTCGGTTTGATAATACAGATCATGTGGACATTACAGAAAAGGAAGTTGATCATGCAGAAACAGTGAATGGTTCTAACACACCTAAGCTATCACCACCTTGGGAACTTGCTAATTTATTGTCATTAGGACAAAATTCTACTCCACTTACTTTTACCAACAAGAAGGTGAAGAAGCCAGACAAAGTAGAGCCCATGTTTGAAGAAGAAACGCAGTCTATTATTTCCCCTGACAACAAAAATGAGAACACAGTTTTAAATAAAAAATTAGAAGAAGAAAATACAAATAAAGAAGTAGAAGAAAAAGATCCACATGAAGAAGTAGAAGGAAAGAATCCAAATAAAAATATAAAAGAAGAAAAAAATCCATCGAGTAAAGATTACGAATCCTATCCACTTTTGACAGAAAAACCAAAAGTTAAAGATATTATAGCGTTTAAAGTAAGTACTAGTTGAACAATTAGTTTCTACTAGGAATGAATATCAAGTGAATTTTTAGATGTTGAAAATTGGATCAGATTGGACACCACAAGTATCAAACTTTATCGAAGGAGAGGTGTTATCTTATTACCCACTATCATCACTGTACACCCTGAAAGTACTGCGTGCGTGATTTCATACAGTTCATACGTATTCTACTAAGACCTGAGTGAATTTAGTATTTCTAAATGAAATATATTTCGTTTTGCAGAAGGCTTATCAGAGTTGCAAGTACCAGTAGGAAAATTCACAATTATAGAAAAGGAAGAAGAACGAATTGTGAACGACACAATTACATTAAATTATTCACAAATAATGACGCCACGAATTGTGTCTACGTGTAATTCAAGTTCAGATACTCCCACAAATTGTGTTAATTAGTTAGATGTTAAGACGTTTATATATAAAGTTTTTAAACACGTACTTTTATACGTTGTAAGTGGAATGTTTTAATGTACTACTTCCTTTTCATTTTAACGAATAATATATATTAAAATAATCGAGTATGTACGAATTACCTTTTTCTCGAAGGCTTGGTTGCGTCATTCTTGGGGAGAAAAGTATCCAACGATTGTCACGAAATTACCGCACAATTCCACTAAATATCACTTTACGTCGTAGCTGGGCACACTAAATTTCACGAATTTCACTTAGACGAAGCAATTAATACCGAACTAATAACGAAAAAGCACCGAAGAATAAGAGACGCTACCGCGATTGCTAAATTTCAAGTGCAACTAGTCCTTGCGCGTGGTTGTGTCAACCCCGTATTACATTGTTAATATTTTCACCTCTACTTTCGCGAATATTTAATCGCGAAAAAAGCACACTAAACCGCTAAAATTTATCGCAAAAACACACCACGGTATAAACAGACTTTCGTTGTATCTCGTAAAACAAATATTTCGTCCAACTACGCTTCGTTAATCACTTTTTGTTACATTTTTAAAACCACTTTTTTTGCAACATCCACGCCGCTTTAAAAGTTACGAACAAGTGCGCATAACGTCGCGCTTCGGTTCGTCTCTCTGCGCGGATTCACTCTCATTGGCTGCTTGCTAATTGATTCGGCCAATGAGATTCAAACATTTTAGAATCCCGCGCTTCGGGGAACCGCGCGTAATTTCAAACGTACTTATTTCGTTTCATAGATTCCGCAGAATTCTATAGTATAAAAACAGAAAAATCACTCAGCTAAATGTTTCTAAGAAGGATACAGTACGAGAGAAAATATATTCTTGATTATTTATAGAAATAATAAAAAAAACGTGCCTGAATACAATCTATTTTTATTACAGAATCGAATACAACGAAATCGATCGACGAAATCGTGCCGGCAACTGTTTTCAGCTCTTGCTACAATCAACCTGAACGAAGTTAACGAGTCGACAAATGGAAGATCGAACGAGAACACTCCGTTCCGTGTTTCTACCCTCTCGAACGTGAACTTCTCTCGGAGCATCGGTGTATACGTGTACAGCTGACGTGACGAGGACGAAGTAGAGCGAAGAAGGAAGGTTATAAAAGAAAAAGAGGAAGTCCTGGCCTTTAGAGCTCCTTTCTTTTAGTGCATGCATATGCCACAGAGACCTAACGTTTCTTTTACCTCCGACTTAAGTTTCTTTCTTTGTACCTGCATGCGGTACAAAGTTTCACGTATTCCCTTTTCACGAGTTTACGGTTTCCATTATCAACGACAAAAGCTACGACTGACGAAACGAAAAAAAAGAAGAAGAAAAAAACGAACGCTGTTAAAATTTCATCGTATTTCCTCGTTAAAAAAAAAAAAAAAAACATCCCAGTTCTTTAACTCTGTTTTTTTTTCAGCTGAACTCTATTTAGCGCTGTGATACACGAAACGAGCTTCGTTGCAGTGAATCCATCACGATTTCATTAGCGGGGATGACAAGTACACAATAGCGAAGTTAGATCGATCGAAATGTGATTTGATTTAAAAGCTTCCATTATCTTCGGAGAGTAACGTGATTTGTATCGTTTAATTATCAACGCGGCCGTAGAGAAACGAACATAATTCGGCCTCCAGATTTAATCGGTGGTCAGGAAACGTTTGTTCTCGATAACTCCATTCTCGAAGGATACTCTCGCAATTAAATCCGCGTTAGCGTTTCGGTGAGCGTCGCCCTTTGCCGGTGAATCTAATCGCCAACGTGGGTATAACAGGTTCGAAGAGAAAAACCAGCGCGAGCTGAACGTTTCAGTCGCTCGGATTAATAATCAGGACGAGGGGA